TTTTATTTTGTATGTGTTACAATAACAAACAGTTATATAAACAAGAATCAGGGCTTTCAATTGGTACCAAAATCAATATATACAATTTCGAATAAAATTCAAAAAACTGATCGCGCAAACTTATTTCCAGGTAGTGTATTTCTAAACCTAAGCTTATAACTATTTTTTGTTTTTATATTTTATATTATTTTTGCTATAGTTTTTATTTGCATTTTATAAAGATACCTTAAGTAAAGTTATTCAGCAAGTTTGAAATTATCTGAATCTCAATTTTCATCAAGTTCATAACGCTAATAATACACAAATTTACTTTTTTAATATTTTGAATTATTTTGGCACTTTAGTTCAAGTAAATCACCTTTATAGTCTAAGTAATGTTATTCGAAAGGTCTGAAACTACTCAAATCTTAATTTTCGTTAAGGTAGGTTTGATATTCATAAAGTTCATAATGCTAATAATACACAAATTCTCTTTTTTAACGTTTAGCATTATTTTGGCACTTTAGTTCAAGAAAATCGCCTTTCGTAGTCTAAGTTAAGTTATTCAGAAGTTTGAAAATACTCAAATCTCAATTTTTGTCAAGGTAGGTTTGATATTCGTCGAGTTTGTAATGCTAATAATACATGAATTCACTTTTTATGCTATTTAATGACTTTTAATCATTTTATTTATATTTAAATAGAATCAAAAGTATATAAAATGCTATTAGTATTATTGATAAATTTTGAAACAACTTTAATAATGCTTATTAAAAAAATTAAATAAAAAATTAAATTAAAAAATAATTTTAAATTTAAAAATATAAAAAATTGAAAATTATTAAAAACTAATAAATATAATATAATTAATAAAAAAAACATTTGAGAGTATTTTAATTAATATCCACGATTTTTTTTTATATATATTTTTTTAATTTGCTATTTAAAAAATCTATTAATAAAATTGCATATATTAAAAAAAATTAGAAAAAAAAATGTAATCTATAACCGAAAAAAAATTAAATCTAAAAATCATTTAAAATCAAATACAAAATCAAATATAAATTAATAAAAATAATTAAAAAAAATTAACTGCAACGAAAATTAAATTTAAAAAATTAATTTAATTAATAAAAATTATATTTTTATTTATCATAAATGAAATTTTAAAGTTTAATTGAATTGGTTACGTGATCAATTATTTAATGCTAAATGGGGGACGAAGTCCCCCGCAAACCGCAAACTCTAGTTAAAAATAATATAAAATAAAAGGGCGATCATTTTTGGGCTTCCCAAATATCAATGTTTGCTTTAATTGAACCAGTGATTCGTTAAAACTGAAAGTTGGTCGGATGTTTTGGATTTTTTCAATACGATGGAAACTGAGAATGATTCGAAATAATAAAAAAAATATCGGTCTGGTGCTCATCTGAACATTGCAAAATCTTTATTGTGCCAAAAGTGAACTAATGAAACGCACTACAAGGTCATGGTTCGATGTTACAGAATCCTCCCGTGAAAATTTGCACACCCAAACTTCCAGAGGATGAAGTTGATTGGTATATCCAATGCTTTCTCAAAATATTTTTGGAGTTTCGGATTGATCCTGTTACCATTATTTCAATTACAGCGATGAGGTGGGGCTTTTTTTTTTGATCATCTTATTATATAAATGGTAATATCCACCATGAGCACACCTTGCTTTTTCGGCAATGATTTAACACTTTGTCTCTTTCCTAATAAATCAATAGGTGTCGATGGTGATGGTGATGGTGATGGTGAAGATGACATCACTTTTTCCAGAAGTCCTGAACGATTTAAACGTCATTCTATAAAAAGCAAATTCATTTGAGAATCATTTTATGGTAAATTCCAGTAGTAAATTTTAGTTAAAATAAAGAACGTAGCATAATCGATCCTTATTTTAAGAGTCAACATATCTTTACAGAAAAGTTGTCACTGGTAAACGCAACCATTTCTGTATTTGCAAAAATAATATTATCCCAAACCTGTCGAGACGAACTGTTTGAGTATAAGCACCTGGCAATGCCCGATCTGTTTAAATTTTTTATCCCATTATCTTATTGTATAGGAATTCCTGAGCAACACAACGAATGTGTGGATATCATTGTTTATGATATATTGTAAATTGTAAAAGTAATGATGTGCCTTCTTTTCTTTGAATATTTATCAATAACTGTTGCTGGAGTGGCCATTTTTCACAGGGAAGGAACTTGAGGTTTTTCGTATGGAAAGTTTTCAGTTTCTCGTTGATAAGCAGAAGAGGTAGACATGAATAAAAAAGATGGAACACATACATGATAAAAAGGGCTCTATTCATCGTAAGACACGACCTAATCTGCGAGATCGACTTTAACCAAAAATAATGAAAGTTTTTTTTAATGAATAAGACTACTTTGTGGGATCGATAAAAACGAACTTTTCTTTCAAAAATCATGACCAATTGCGAACTTCAACAAAGACAAGACCTCTTGAAAGGATTAATAAAATTGAATGTCTTCTTCGACCAAATGACGGGATCGAAGAACACAACATCAAGGTCGGAATTTTTTTTTCAAGGATCCCAGAATTAAAGAAGTCAGATTTTTTTCTTCCAAAGGTCACAACCACTTTCAATGGGATCAAACTTCTTCCAAGGATCACAAACTCTTGACTTAATTATTTTTTTTCTAGGATCATTACCTCTTTCTACAGAATCAAGCTCAGTCGTATTCTTTCATAGGTTTCTTGCAAGGTTTAAGAGAACGAAAGAGTTCTCATCAAATACTTGGGTAAAAAAAAAGTGTTAAGCAAATTAACGAACCCCAGCCGGGTGTCTTGAACCGAAAATGTCATGTGCGTAGCTAAATAAATATTTGGTACATTTCACATGGTCGCTAAAGTTCGACGTAAAAATTTCAAGGATGAATGCCCTATATATTATCGTAGAATAACATTTTAATTAATTAATAATACATAAAACATTTGGAAATTCGTGTAGCCAAAACTTCATGATCCGATCATTGCATGATACTCTATAAAAATAAATGTAAAGAAAAAAATAGTAAAAAAATGAATTCAATTTCAGTTTAAATTCTGACCTTTTTTACGGTGGAATGTATTTTTTATTGTATAAATTTTTGTGTAAATTTTTGAATATAGGCGCGAAAAAAATTTTGAAGAAAAAGAGAAATTTGACTTGATATATAAAGAAAGAAAAAAAAAATAAATAAAAAAATAAATTATATTCTTAGTTGAACGATTAAATAATGTAACAATTATAATACGAGATTATATATGAAATGAATCTGAAATTTGTAATTAAATTGCGAATGCGAATTGTTACACAGAGTCTAATTATAAAGATTTATGTTTGCACTTCCTAATTCACCTTTGCATAGAAATTGTTTGAATATTCATATTATAGGTATCATTCTTATCTATTATTAAAGCAAAAAAAAAAAAAATTATTAAAAAGAAATTCCAAAGATAAATACTATAAAGGATGTTCTACTTCTTCGAGATATCCGAATATTATGGTAAAAACATTTTTTATTCCAAGAATCATGAACATGAAATAAATCATTAAAAAGAGACGAACTGCTGTAACTTGTTTAAATGAGCAGTGTTAGATATAAATACATTTCTCTTTCGTTTCAAGATTTATTAAAATCAAATATTAAAATCAATATAATTATTAAGAACTACGTGGAAAAAAAGAACAGCCTAGAATATCACTTTCTGAATTTGCCATACTAAATACCATATTGTACGATTTAGGTAATTTGTCTGGTAGTTTAAATTCCACCTTTTGATTAATTGCATCACCAGCTTTAATTGGACATCCACTTCCAGTACAAGCATCAAAAACAATGGGTCTGCTAAGGCAGCTCCATTTGAATCACCAAATGCAACCACAAGTTTGGTTTGTACGGTAACGTCATTCTTCAATGTTCCGGTAACAGTAGCAGTAAACTTTTGATCATTCATTTTTAATGATCCACGGAGTAAGAAAAGGTCTCGTGGACATGAATAATAGCCTGATCTTTTAAGAAGTTTAACCATGGAAAGCGTGACCAATTAGAGGAATGCAAATATAAATTTTCGGTTCATGATTATGATTTCTTTGAAAATTGAGTTTGTTGAGTTTTTTTTATTTTGTGAATGTTAGTTATCAAATAAGCTTGGATTCTTAAAAATCATTGCCCTTTTATAAGGAAAAAGTAAAAAAAAAAAATCGTATTCCCATCAGTACTTTTTCATCATGATTGGTACCAAATTTTGTTGTTATGCCATTTTGTTTCTCTTTGAAATAATTTCACAGTAAGAAAGTTTTAAAAATCTTCCATAGTAAACTTAAAAGAAAGCGATCATTTCGAAAATTTGAAAAATCATTACTAAGGAGGTCTGAGACGATCAAATAGTACTATTTTATAATTAATAAAATGAAATAAAGTTTAATTAATTGTAACCCGAACTTGAGAATAAAAAGGAAATTGACGCAAGAAGAAAATCAACGATCGACGTCGATCTAACCAGATTTAGGTTAGGAAATATTCACAAAAAGAATTAGAATAAAAGTTCGATTTGTGTTTCATAAAAAATTATAGTTTTTCTTTTTAACTTTATTTATTTAAATTATTTAAATTAATCTTTTGTAGAATTGACACAATTTTGCTTTTAAAAGATAAATCCTGAAGTTAACTTAATTTTTTTTTATCGAATTCCCTGATTTTCGATTACTATTACTAATGGGGACGAAGTTTTTCGCAGCCGTAAACTCTATTTAAAATAAATAGAATATTTAACTCGGGTTAAATCCATAATTATTTTTGGTTTCATAATAATTATTATTATCATAATAAATTTAAAATCATACAAATTAAAAAAGTAAGTTTCGAAATAAACCAAAAAAAAGTAAATAATCGAAAGTTTTTTCCTACGTTTTAAAATATTCTTTTCGATTGTTGAACGTTGAATTCATTTCTTATTATAATGAGAAGAATGGATGTTGAAGGTAGAATTAGATCGAGAGAAAGCTTGTTGAATTTTACGTAAAGTTTGTATTTCGTTGTGACTGAAATTGATTTTCATCTGATCTTCGGGTGTCTGAAATTGAGATTCAAATTTCAGTTAAACTGAAATTCAGACTGAAATTCTGAAATTAGAATTCCACCCGAAGATCAGATGAAAATCAATTTCAGTCCAACATCTCGATGGCGTAATTTGATACTGCGTCATTCCTTGATTGTTTTCAATTACGATTTGAACGCTGTTTACTAAAAGATTTAACATCCTCAGATTGCTTATTAAATAAAGTGGTTATTTTTTTTTACCAAAGGTTTTTGAAAAGTTGGCCCATACGTGAAAGTTTAATTTTCTTGTTATAGGTGTGTAACATTTTTGAGTGATCATTTTATTTGTTAAAATTCGAGGAAAAGGTTGAGGAATGCTGTCCTAATATTGATTTTCTATTTAACTTGTTTTTTTTTTTTCATAGATATCTGAACTAGTATTAATAAATTAACAATTAAGTTCGACTTTTTTAAGTTTTATATATCTTTAGGAATTTGATATTATTAACTTATTTTCATAATTTAAAAAAAAATTACCTAACATTCTGTCATTGTAGGCGAAAAAAATAAAAAAAAATTTATTGCAGAAATAATCCAAAATGCAAAAAAAGCGTAAAATTCCAAAAGTTCAAGTTGGTTCATAATATTAAAATTTCTTTACATATCAAGGAGGGTTTGCTAATTAATTTTTGGTATCTCATTAATCTTTGATCCTAGATTAGATGGAATTAGGAGATTAAAACAATTTATAAAATTGACTTCATAGAGTTTCATCTTTTTATTTCTTCTTAATTTTCGGTTTATTTATTTTTAATTACGAGAAATTTTAACATTCATAACAAGTAACAACAATGTATATAATACGAGTCTAGTATATGTTATTTCTTAAAAATAAGTATAGCCTATCTAGTAAAAATAATCCATTGCATTTATTTTAAGATTGGTATCTTCTTTTTTGATTGCAATTGTGTGAGTATTATTTAGATGAACTTCGTTTTTAATTGTTCAACTTGGAATTTGCAAAAAAAAAAAAAATAATGTGATTTAAAATATAATAAAATTTACTCGAAGTATCAAGCAGATGATAAAAACAGTTGGGTAAGAAACTGTAGAATTCTTGTTAGACATATTGGTTACTTAATTGTTTATACAACTAGTATCACTTTCTATCTATAAACTTTTTTTGTGTTAATTTTATATTCGAAAATACGAAGTTAAAAACGAGATTGTGTTATACAACAAATATCTTTACGATGCGGATCAAAAAAATATAGGGTGGACTAGGCGTAATTCAACGATTTATAACACATACATATATAAATGTATAAATGATAATGACGGGAAAAAAGAAGTCTATGTCCCGCGTTCGAACCAAATAGTAAAAAATTTCATTTGTTGTCAAAAGAAATCGCTTAAAAAATCGCACAAAATAAATAAAAAATCAATTAACAATATAATAATAATAAAAATAAAAGTCTTACGGCGGCTACCCACGTCACGAATCCGAAAAAGAGCCTAAATTTAGAAAAAATAAACAATTCAAATAAAAATAATGTAAACCCTACCAATCACATACTGGAAAATCAAATCACCTATCGCTACAGCCCAAAGATATAAGTTATTCAACTCGATAGAGAAAATAAAATGTGCAATTTCCCAAAAAAGCAATATTTTATTGCTGCGGCCGAAGATCGTACTCAAAATCAAATTTAAGTTAGAAGGCTGTAATTATTTTGTTTGTTGTAAGATCGACATTATTGAACGTATATAATTTACCCCGGTTACCACCAAGTAGAGATGTTATACGGTTCTAAGCGGCCCTAAAAGCTCCAAGAAAATTACAAAGTATTATTTTTACAAATTTATTATTAAACTTGTCCATTATAATGTTTTATAAGCTATTTAATGAAAATAAGTAATAAACCCTTTTGGAATCCCAGAATTTCTTTAAATTTAAAATTTTAGGATTTAGGACCGGATCGGTAGTCCCATCAAAGTTTCCAATTTTGAATATCATTTTCGCTTTTTATAAATTAATTATAATATCTTTTTTGATGATTACTTATTATAGATACTTCTCTAGAGTTATGTAGTAATCTCTTAAATCATAAGGATCCCTAGCCACACCCACGTTATTTTTATACGATTTCAAAAAAGAATTGGTAATAACGTTTCCGTTGTCACATTTTTGAAAGAACTATGAAGTTTTGATCTGCTGATTTAACGTGTATAATCAAAAAAAAAAATATATATTTAAATAATAATTTGCTATTAATACTTGTTTAAATATAAACAGTTTACGCTCGTGTGTAGAGGGAGAAGATTAAACATTTTCTAGAAAATGTTTAATCTTCTCCTCCCCCTACACATTCTAGAATTTTTTGTTTCTCCAAATATAATCTAAAATATGATGTACAAATTACAGGTTTTCTCATCATAGTTGAAATAATGTCGAACATTAGAATAACTTACAGGTAATAAATAATAAAGAATTGTTCAATAAAAACAATGAAAAAACAGGTTTTTGAATACGCTGAGATTAGCGTTGAAAACACCTATTCACAAAAATAGTTACTTTACGGATCAGTATCTTAATAATAAATTTTTGTAATGAGCGGATGAGCTATTTTTTAAAAATTCTTTGAAAATTATAACTGAACGTAATTATCAGAATAATTTTTGAATCGGATAAATATGGAGAAAACGGTTTTAAAATCGTAATATATTTAAATACAACTTTATGAACCGTCTCTTTGTTCTATAATACAGTAGCGGTCATAAGTATCCGACCGCCCGAGATCGTCCAAAATTATTATATAACTACCCCTTAAATTTT